AACCTCCTATCCAGGGGGCACCAAAAACTACCTGGGGATAAAGGTTGCCAAAGTGTGGTGCTGACCCAACACCACCACCTTCTTGTGCTGAGGTTAAAGAGGCATGCCACCATGGCATGTGAACAGGGCCCCTTTTTTTTTTTTTTTTACCTTTACCAAGCACTTTTTTTTTTTTTTTTTTTTAAGGTACTGCACAAGTTTCCATGCTGTGGTGGCTGGTTATCACTTTTTTTTTCCCAAATGCAAAACACAGCAGTTCAGCCCACTTCTTTGAAGCCACCATTCTAATAAAATTACCTTAACATACATTTCAGCCCATAATAGCCCAAGGAGATGAAACAAATCATAGAAAAGTAGGGCTGGAAGGGACATCAGGAAGTCAACTAGTGATTCCAGTCCAACCCTCTGCTCAAGGCAGGATAAGCCCTATCAAAGCTATTCTAGACAATCTAACCTATACTTAATACTTCACTGACAACCATCTCACTCAACTACCAGACACAATGCCCCAAACACCAAGACAGTCTTAATTCACCAGAGGTAAAGCAGAGGGACAAGGGTACTGTCAATGGCCTGCCACTGCAAGGACAGGAAGTAGTTGTTAACAGACACTTGAGAGATCAAGTCAGAGGACCATGCCCCACACTGCAGAGGAAAACAACTTCCCAACCCCAGGCCGTGCCCATTTGACCACAGGGTAAAATTCCTTCCTGATCCCAAATGTGGGGGGTCCGCTCATCTTCATTATGTCACCTCAGCCAAGTCAAGGAAGAATCACAGAATCACAGAACATGAGGGTGGGGAGGGACCTCAGGAGGTCACATCTAGTCCAACTCCCTGCTCAAAGCAGGACCAGCCCCAACACGATCATCTCAGCCAGGGCTTTGTTTAGCCAGGTCTTAGAAACCTCCAAGGACAGAGGTGCCACCACCTCTCTGGGTAACCCATTCCAGGGCTTCACCATCCTCCTAGTGAGAAAGTTTCTCCTAATATCCAGCCTCAACCTCCCTTGCTGCAACTTGAGCGCATTGCTCCTTGTTCTGTCATCTGTCAAAAGACAGAACCAAGCCAGGAAAGGTTTTTACACTAGGAGTTTGATGTCAGCAACAGTGTATTGTTTTAACAAGTGCACTGACAGCTACAAAAACCCTTTGGCTGACATCTCTGTTTCATGGGGACAATGAGCCAGGCACAAAAATAGTTTTGGTGCCTGGAAGAGACAGACGCTGAACTCTCACCTGGGATTAAACATCTGCTCCCACCTCACGTCCCTTCATTTAGGACAAGCCCACTTTGCCTGAAAAGTGAAGTTGCATCTGCTTCCTAGCATGGGCCAGCACTGTCACCGTTTCCCTTGCGATTACTCTCGGTGACAGTTCTTTCAAGCTGCCGGGCTTTATTCTTACTCGGTGCACACACACCGCAGTCAAGGCTACGGGGCGAGGCAGGCTGCCGCCCACAAAAGCTCAGGCCTCTCTGAACAAGTCAGCCTGTGAGGGGCCACCCAGCTCTCCAGGCCCCCCACTAGGGACTAATGTGGCGACCGCCCCCTTGGCCCATCACTCCGGAGGCGGTAAACGGGTGAACCAGGGGGGTTCGGTGTCTGGGGTCACATCTTACCTGGCCCTGGCCACAGCCCAGAGGAGGCTGCAGCCATGCAGAGCCATGCCGCCTGGGGCCGCCGTCCTGCGAGAGCAGAAAGGCAGTGTTAGCTTAAGGACCAGCTCCCTCCCCGGGCGCAGGGACGACCCTTGTGGCTACGGCCCCCCAGCCCGGGACAACCCTGAACCCTCCCGCTCCTGCCAGGCCCACGAGACCCCCACCCTCACCCCAAGGCAGGGGCAGAGCCCAGGAGTGTAGGCCCCAAGCCTCACACTAACTCCTCCCCCACCGCCCTTCCAGGGGGAGAGCCCAGGAGTGCGGGCCCCAGCCCCCCACCACTCACCACCCGGCTTCGGGGCGCCGCTTCCGCCTCAGCTCCTTCCCATCGGCCCCCGCGCCCCCCAAAACGCAACCACTCTACCCCCGTGCGCTGCACTCTATGGTTCCCTCTCGTCACCCCACAGGGAGACCCCGCCCCTTCCCCGCTATCCAATGGGAGCTCCGAGTCCCGGAGCGTGGGCGGGCTGTCAGGCGCCAGCCAATAGGAGCGAAGCGGGGGGACGGGCTTGACCTTATGTACCCCCTGGGCCGGGCGCCCAGTTCGGGTGGGGCTGCTAAGCGAGCAGTGTGACGTCACGGAGCGGGAGGTGTGATATAAGGCACAGGGCTGTGACGCAAAGGCATTGGGCCCGGTGCTGCCCCTTCCATGCTAAGGGGCGGTGACGGCAGCATGGCTGGGCTACATCCGCTGCTATCCCCTGCCTGGGCCCATTGCTCACCCCCGCGACCTGCGCTCCCCCCGCTAGTTCCCCAGAGCCCAGCACAGGCCTCGGGGGTGTCCCAGAGCTCGCCTAGAGAGACAGAGACAGGGCCTAGGCAAATGCAGGTAGCTGCGTGCCCATATTTGCCTGGGCCCAGTTTCTGTCTCTCTTCAGGCCAGCACTGGGAAACTCCCCCAGCTGCCCATGAAAAAGGCTGGGTTGAACTGTGTGCAAGACAGCCCTCCAGACCAAACTGCAGCGACAGGCCGGAAAACACTGCATTTCGTTCTCTTCTCCTCTGCTTTATTGCTATGATGAGCGGTAATAACAATAATAGCAACGGTAATCTTGTCAAGAGGTGCTTGCAGGCTCGGGTGAAGGCGAGGTCCTGGTGGGAAGCGACCGCTCCATTCTGCGTGTCCCGTGGCACGGCATTTCCAACTTCCCTGCTTTCAGGGTGAGAAGACGTGTGAAGCAAGGCGGGACTGACGCTCCATGTCAAATGAAATGTGACCTCGTTTGCTGACAGATGTGAAATGGTAATCTGTATTTAACAAAGCACCCCAAGCACTGCAGTTTCTTCTAGTTCGATGGAAACCTGCATTGCATTTATTTGTCAGGTCTATGTTTAAATGGGTGCACCGAGTATCTCTGTGTCGTATGCTCTAAACGATATGGTGGGAGGATGTGAGAAGATAGTCTGTATCAAAATACATCCTTTTCTTTTGGGTTTACCTTCCCAGAGTGGGTTTGTATGGAATCAGGAATCGCAGGGAATTGCAGAGCCCTGTCTTGCTCGTCACCTGGAAACACTTTGATAAGTTTTAACAGATGACAGAAGTAGGGAGGCTGCTGCTCGCTCTGAATCGTTTCTGCATTTCTGAGAATGATGTGGGTAAATATTTGATCACAATCCAGAATACAAAGTGGCTTTCATCCATCAGTGGTGGCCTTAGGGTTGTTGGGGCCCTGGGCAAGAGAGTCATTTGGCCTTAATTTTGATGACTTACAAGTTTTGCTTGCCAACCACGGTTTTGCCAACCACAGTTTTGAGTATCCACGCTTAATATTCTATATACCACAGTAGATGGTTTTCCGTGGCCGCGCATCAGCCCGCCACCTGCCATTTTTCCCATAAGCCTTTTGACTTGCCAACCATGGGAACTTTCAGGAACCTAACCCCAGCGGTTGGTGAAGGAAACCTGTATAAGCAAGTCAGACGCTTTCGATTTCAGTTTCGTTTTGCCTTATCCGCGAAACTGCAATGAAAGTATCTTAATACAATATAAATAATACAGATATTCAGTGTAATTAATTTTTATTTTTATAAAGTGCAGGGCCCCAGGCAGTCGCCTGGTTTGCCCTTCCCTAAGGCTGCTACTGCATCCGTACCGGTAACTACCCAAAGACAGGAACTATATTTTTTTAAAAAAGTAAAGCGTACAAGAGGAAGTAAGCAAGTATTATAGCTCAGCCACTAGAGGTCTCTTTATGCTTGCATTTTTCTCTGGATTAGTACACAGACATTCTTGTGCCAGATCTCTAGACACTTTAAATTACAACAATATTAATCCAGGTCTTTCTCTTCTCCCCACAAAACTACTGAGGTTAATGTACGTGCTTTAATATTAAAACCTGGTGCAATAAAGACTATAGCAACTAAGCACTCTTCCTGTTTCACAGTGGGGAACAGGTTTCCTGGGAGATTCTCGGATGAATTAATCTATAGTAACAGTTATACAACATATTAAAATAATAGGAAATGAGGTGAGCAGCCAAGCGTAAGGAATCCTGCTCTCTGAAGTGCTCAAGGAAATATCCCTCGTTTACTGTACTGGAATGGAGAATTTCTATCCATTATACTCCGAAGCTTCAGAGAAGCTGAAAACCACTATTGTGTCTCATTTGGATGTGATATTGGTGTCCAAACTGCTCTCGTTTGGATGTGGGGTTGGTCAAAGCTGCTCATAACTCTCTTGGAGACTGAGCTAAAACCCACTGAAGTTTACAGGAGTTTTCTATTGATGTCAAGGGACTTCAGATTAGCCCTGAGAACAAAAATTGGACATACGTACCTATAAGTGTTAATGGTTACAACTGTCAGGCCAGTTTAAAAAACAAACAGCATTTGATTTAAAGGTCCTTCAGTCCGAGAAACACAGCAGAATGACTTTGCTTGACTGCACCGCAGTGCCTTACCCACAATTTTCAGGTCCCTCCATGGGGTTGACTGGAAAGCCCTTCTCAGTCCAGTAAACAGCAGCACCGCAAGAAGTACAGGAGTCAAGTATTACGTCAGCAGTGTCAACCTCAGACAATTAACAATAACATAAGTGTTTCCATATAATCACGAGATTTAAAAAAAAATTTGGATTAATTGCCTTCTGTTTTCAGCCTTTTAGTGTACAGCTGGATCATGTTTCCAATCTTTCCTCTGGAAAATGAATAAAATCAGATACTTGTTCTTTTTGCATTGGTTTGGTTTTTAGAATCATAGATTCATAGAGTCGTAGAAAATGAGGGTTGAAGGGACCTCAGGAGGTCACATCTAGTCCAACTCCCTGCTCAAAGCAGGACCAGCCCCAGCTACATTAGTCCACCGAAGGCTTCGTCTAGCTGGGTCTTAAAAACCTCCACGGATGGAGATCTCACAACTTCTCTGGGTAATCCATTCCAGGGCTTTATTACCCTTCTAGTGAGAGTTTTTTCCTAATATCTAACCTCAACTTCCCTATGTTGCACCTTGTTCTGTCATCTGCCACCGTTGAGAACAGTCCAACCGCATCCTCTTTGAAACCCATCCTTCAGGCAGTTGAAGGCTGCTATTGAATCACCCCCTCAGTCTTCTCTTCTCCAGATTAAATAAGCCTCTCCTCACAAGTCCTGTCCCCCAGCCCCTGAACCATTTTCATTGCCCTCTGCTGGACTTTCTTCAATTTGTCCACATCCTTTTTGTAGTGGGGAGCCCAAAACTGGACACAGTACTGCAGACGTGGCCTCAACAGTGCCAAATAGAGGGGAATAATAACTTCCCTCGATCTGCTGGCAACACTCCTACCAGTCCTTTTTTTTTTTTTGATCTGGCAATGCTTCTACTAATAGAAGATGCATTTCTCATGTAATCACATGGTTCCTGGAACATGATTCAGAAACATACCAGATATTGGAGGAGCCGGCAAAACTTTTGCAGTGGGGGTGATTGTGTGCATTTTAAAGGCTTGAGAGTATTTTAAGTTTCTAAACTGTTGCTCAGAGCCTCAATTAGGCCGAAGCATGTCACTTCAGGCAGTGCCACTCCTTGTGGGAATTGTACCAGCCACAGACTAGTTCTTCCAGTGATACAGACTTCAGTTCTAAACCCCTCTTACTAAACAATGTATGCAACTTAGTCTGGGACAAAGTCTGGTGGCAACTGCTGTACTCTGTTCAAAGGGGAAAATCCAGCTGGGAGGACACAGCTCTTCGATTACTTGAGGAAAACAGCCTGCTCCTATGACTGCCCTTAGGTTATTTCAGCCCAGCCAAAATGCA